TCCAGTCTATCTTTCATTTTCATGATCCTGCTGCGCGTGATAGCCGCCAGATGATGAGTGATGCCCATGCCCAACTCTGACGCAATACGTTCTGTGGCCTCGGACACATTCTTTCACATACTTGAGCACAAACGGGCCGTTCGGAGAGGCGACTCACTATCTTAAGTCGCCACTCACATGCGACAAATATCTTCATCTTAACTTTTTTTGGATGACAACCAGAGTGTGATAGGTCTTTGGATTATCTACTTTCTCAAGGGTCATTCTAAGGAGTTTTTTGTTGGTGAAATTACCCTTGAAAAACAGCTGTGTCTCAAGCTGTGAGTTCTTTAGACTCTTGTCCTTGGTTCAACATAAATGTGGTACACAAACTTCCGTTAGGAATCGCTTCAGCAATTCAACTGCCCCGACTTTGCAACTATTAAGGCTACTGACTGAATATAAGTAGCTGGCTTATCTTCGTGATCATTTACCCGCGACTCTGTTTTTCAGTCGAACCCCCACGTCCCCTGGTCGAGAGCAGGTGATTTGTGAGGAGCGCCTTTATTGCCTTATGTTTAAAACAATTTTTAATCGGTCGATTTGGGTAGGACTTTTGAAAGATGTTCCAGTTGATTCCTGCTACGCTGAAGTTGTCCACAGTCATGAAGTTCGTTCGGACTTAATAATTTCTCTACCAAGCCATTGGATGAGAGTCGGCAACTTCGTGTGTCCTACGTGGCCGATAGACAGTGAAAACATCGAGAAAAGGGAAGCCGTTAGCCTTGATGTTTAGCCAAGCAGCTTCCGTGCTGTACACAAACTTTGCGGTCTTTTCTGACTTCAGCAAGACTTCTTTCTTACGCACGATTATCCCACTTCCCTGAAAATTTTCCATGCCTCTGCGATATATTTGGCATGCAGGCACCGTTATTTCGCTCTCCCGGATATTTTCAGGCAGCCAGGCTTGGAGTGCTTCTATTACAATCTGAAACATTTCGGTAGAGAGAATTTTTGGTTTATGAGGCTTCTATACCAAACTTTGCACACTTGTTTAAAGGCGACTAAATTTTGCGTCAGTCGAATTTTCGGTCATCTTTCACTGTTATAACATTTTCCCTATCCCTTCGGACATAGATTTGGAGGATTTTGCTTTTTTAACGTAATTTGAATTTTCAGTCAGGGCACTAGGCCCTACTGGCCTAGTTATGCTGACACGATGAGGGGCTGGTTTCACATAAGTCTCAGAATGACCCGAGCAGCTGCCGCTCTCCTCAATATAACTGGTTGATTCAACTGAAAATCATTCTTCTAAACACCATCCATGTTGAAGATAGAAAAATTATGTTAATAAAAATAATATTAACTGTATGTTACGCCAGTTTACAGGCATTGTCAGGGAAGCCTTAAACACAAATCCGGTCAACAGTGAACAAAACCCCTGTCAAGAAGGAGACAAAAATAAAGTTAATGGTAGTTTTTTATAGCTTGGAGGGTTCAGGAGAAAAAACTGCCGACCATAAAATGCCGACAGTCAATCAAGGAGGGGTTTCACTGTATCGGATATTATCAGTCGCCAATTCTTTTTATGAAGTTAAGGCTAGTCCAAAGGACGCAGCGAAGAACGACTGGTACTGTTGGCTAAAAAATTGTCCCTGATGAGACCGGCCATAGAGATCAGAGATCACAAACGCCGTCGCTACGGTATGGTCTATCAGTGGATTCAGCACCCAAAATTTGTGGGAGTTTGCCTGAAGGCAAACATTAAGTAATAGTTATCTTAAACATTCCTGGGTAGTTTATTCCTAATAGCATTTGCATATACAGAAAAGAACCGACGATATTTAACGGTGCGTGCCAGAGGAAGAAGAAGAAGAAAAAAGACCTCACGGTGACTGTTACGTAGGGGGGTGGACAAGATGTCGTGAAGCAGCGACTGGATTAAAGGTACGCTTATATACTACTTACATAATAAAAATAGTCACTTTTGTAATCTGCGAAACCATAAAGAATCACGGCAGTCTCTCAGCCCTACTCTTAATTCCGAGACAAGTTCCCGGCGCATTAAGCATTCCGCCGAGGAATAGTTCGATTCAGAATGTCTTCTTTCTGACAGTCCTGTTGGCTGGGTCTTCTCTACAGGACCAAATTGCTCTGCTCTTTGCTCTCCACCATACTTTTAAGAGTACGCAGTCGCAGTGATCCTGCCTTATCTCCACTTTGTCTTTATATCCGGAATATTTTTAGAACTTTTACTTGCATGTCTCAATGGATAACTTGAGCCAGTAGACAATGAAATGAATTGGGGTCTATTGAGGAACAGTCAGGTCTGGCTGCATTTGAGTTAATCTAGTCCGGAATAATTAGATAGTGGAAAGGATTCTAAGTGGTCATTGATTTCCGGGAATTCTATATATGAGGATGGTAATATATTTTAAAGTATAATCGTAAGTTAAGATTTCTGTTGTCCACCAAATGTCCGAAGGAACCCACCAGGGTTGACTTTGAACCCAGTCTCCTGTTGCGGCGTCTTCCCACCGCGGTGGACTACGGCTTCCTGTCTTCGCATTTAACAAAAAGCTCTTCATAGCACAAAGCATAGACAGGAGAATTTTATGGTAACAGTAAACCAGGCGACCTAGTTGTATTCCCTTGGAGCAAGAGAACTCTTGTCATTTAGGGATGCAATTAAGGCAATCCTGTGATGTTATTAATCACGACGAATAGTTTTTTGAGACACCGTTAAGGTATTCTTGCGCACACATCTGGCCTGCCTTTACCAGAGGCTTAGTTATGGTTATCCTACCGTCAGTGATACACGCGTTTGTACTTAGCGTACTGTTGCGCGCATTTTGAGCTGGGCCTGATGCGAAAATCTTTTGGGCTTTGTCATTTTGACCAGCATTTCTCATCTTCTTTTTGAAATCATTGTTCTGCTGGAAGAGTGTCTTGAAATTTGCAAGCTCGTTTTAGGATTTTTCGAGCTGGAATAAGATAAGTGTGCATCCAATGTAGGGTTTAACCTCGTGTCCAAAGCTTTTACGGTAATTGAGCTTAGGACGCGTTTTGCAAGTCTCTGACTGCGGGCGCAAAGAGAGCGGCCAAAAATCATTGGCGCGAAGGTTACCTCAGGGGTTTACCTTCGGGCGAAATGCCAATTCTGCAGGCCCTATTGCCGCGAAATTGCTGGGTTCGTAAGCATTAGACTAGAAGCACTGACTTATTTTCATCTTTGCGATTTTACGTGATAAAGTACGATGGGTGTGTAAATCCCAATGAGCTAACAATGCTGCCATTTGTTTAAAGTTACTTGAAACGTTGACAGTTGGTTTGCATTATATGCAGAAAAGACTTGACCGAATATTTCGGATTGCAAATGACGAATTGAAATGAGTAGTCAAGACTCAGTGAACGAAAAAATATACTAAAAATCTGACGCATTGCATGAAGTTTATTCAGAAATGACTCAGCCGTTTGCGAATCTCGATGGACTTGAATAACTTCAGATCTTGAAGGATTTCGAGTGGTTGTCTTCCTGAGCTGTAAATAGCAA